CCACAGGTCAGGGCTGCCCACTCGGTGGCATTGGGCGAACCCAAGGGTGGGTGGGGGCACCCCGTGTTTCACTTGGGGGCTCTTTATGCCCCAAGGCTCCCCGCCCTCCTGCCACCCCTCCTTGGGGCCCAGCCTGCCCTCGTCAAGGCCCGCGTGGGTCTCCCCTGCAGACGTCATGGGTGTGCTGATGGCTGGCGGCTGTGCGGGGGTCCTGGCCTGGGCCGTGGCCACCCCCATGGACGTGGTCAAGTCGCGCCTGCAGGCGGACGGGCGGGGCCCGCAGCGCTACCGCGGCCTCCTGCACTGCCTGGTGAGCAGCGTGCGGGAGGAGGGCCCGCGGGTGCTCTTCAAGGGGCTGGCGCTCAACTGCTGCCGCGCCTTCCCGGTCAACATGGTGGTGTTTGTCGCCTACGAGGCCGCGCTGCGGCTCACCCGGGCCTGCTAACCTGGCTGGTCCCACGTGGGCCTCAACCAGCAGCAGCTGCAGCGGGCCTGTGGCTGGAGGAGGAGGGGTGCTCTGGGGTCTGGGCCCCTCCCAGAGCTGTCTCCAGGACGGGGTGCTCCCCGCCGGGTCTGTGAAGGCCTGGCTGGACCTGCCAGCCACAGACACAAGGGGGGCTCTGGCCCCAAGCCCGGTGGCCCCGAGGCCGCAGCCAGCCCCGTTGGTGAGGACCGGTGCCCGAGGGGGGTTCATGCCTCTGCTGTCCATTCCCGCTCCCCTGCCCCCCCAGCCACCCCGTGTCTCCAGGTACCCGCGGCTCACCTCTGCCCATCACGCAGCTGCCTGCTCCGCCACCCCACCCCCTCTGCCTTGCTGCACCCTGGTGTCCCTCCATGTCAGACGTGGACACAAGGGGCCTCGAGGGGACCCAAGGGCAGCGAGGGTGGGATCCTCTGACCAGTCTGGGCCCTGCTCAGAGGGCAGCACTGGACACCCAGGGCTGCCCACAGACCCCAGAGGGTCAGTGGGGAAGCCTGGCCAATAAAGTGTTCCTGAGGACCTTCACTGTGGCTGCTCTGTGGTCAGGGGAGGTGGCTGGTTCCCAGGGCGCCACACCGGGGACAGAGGGTGCCCTGGCCTGGCTTGACCGGCACAGGGTCTGCTCAGCATGCAGCTGGCGCCCCAGCCCAAGCTGCCCCCAGACGGAGGCAGGCGGGGCTCCCTGCACACGCCGCTTTGCAGGCCAGGCTGCCTCGGAGACGTCACGCGAAACCCAAGGTGGCTCCCCAAGTCTTGCCCTGCTGGCCTGAGTCACGGGACCCTGAGGCTGTGTGCTGCGGGTGCCCGGCGGGGTGAGCACAGCGGCGCTCTGGGTCCGTGGACTCCACCTGTGCTGAACCGCCTGCATGCTTGCCCATGGCCAGGGCACAACAGGAAGTCCCTTGGGGTCCTGCAAGGCCCCTTCACTGGCCAGAGGATGGAGGGAGGCGGTGCCGCTCCCTCGGGCCCCAGTGCCTCACGGATGGCCCTCAGTGGGCACGGCAGCGTCAGGGTCTGGCCAGGCCTGCTTTGTGTGGCCTTGGACAAGTGACCTCCCTCTGCCTCAGTTTCCCCCCTGCAAAATGAGGACAGATGGGCACTGACCCCTGGCTCCTGACTGCCCCTCGGCTGACCCTCTCCTCAGCAAAATGACACTTGCTGAACCTCCCCCAGCCACCCCCTCCTTGCACATCAAAGGCGTGCAAGAGCCACAGGGAGGTCGCTGAGCTGGAGGGGCGGGAGTCTGCCCTGCGATGGCTCTGGCCAGCCGCTAGCCAGCGCCGGGAGCTCCTGGGGCATCTCCTCCCCTGGGCCCACTCCAGGGTCACCGCGAGGGCGAGGGGCAGTGCAGCACAGCCCTGGGTCAGAAGTGAGGCCTCGGCTCCCAGGTCAAAGGCAGACAGCACGGAGACACAGGCAGGACCGAGGACGTTTATTTACGCAAAGAACGGGGGTGAGGGTGGGGGTGAGGGCCCGAGGCCCGGTGCTAAGAGGGGACAGACCGCTGCCGTGCGCCCCCCTCGAGACACACCCCGCTCCCCTGAAGCTGCACACCAGCCACCACCCAGCGGGGCGTGGACACAGGCTGACGGCAGGGCGAGGGCAGGCCCTGCTCCGCGCACTTCTTGCCGGCAGCGTCGGCACAAAGCGCCTGTGGAGGCCACCGACTCCCCTCGGCGTCTTGCACAATCAAGGGCTGGTTCTCAGGCTGGGTGTTGGGGACTTGGCGACACATTCTAGGGTGTCCGGGAGAAGCATGTGGTTTCTGGAGTAGACTACGAGCCTGGCCTGGAGCTATTCTGTCACCTGGAGTTTCACCCACAAGTGACGGGATAGAATCCGGCCACGGCCGGCCGACACCCGGGGCCAGTCCGGCCCCAGCGGGGCCGCCAGCTGCTTCTCCTGGGGGCCCACACTGACTGCAGACATGCAGACAGCAGGCCCCC